AACACTTCTCCTGATGTTTTTTGGACAACAAACTTTGATTTGTGCTGTAGATAGGCCTATTAACTTCCTCCACTAACATTCGTTGGGTAGTAGGCTTAGGATACGGTTTTGATTGACTTGCCACTGCCACTGACTTATCTTTTGATGGGACTTGCGGGAACGATACTTAAGAAACATTTTCATCGTCCAATGACTCAAAATGGAGGCCATGTATTCTTCTGCGACAGCCTGGCTCTTTTTCTTCATTTTCATAAGCTGTAAGAGACTGGACTCCTCTTTGAAACTTTATGGCATCAGCCATTCCTCTTTCAAAATTATATAAATAAACAAAATTGAGAAAACGTCTTGTTTAAGTTACTAACTGAAAATTTTCAACTAGGCCTAATATGAGACAATGTATAATTTACATTTTATAATTTATTTCTACATCAATTTACTATATTCATAAACATGGGTAAAAGCAATTTTCGAAATAATAATGATATTTATGTAATGTCATATTTGGCCTATAGTAGATAATTTAGTACAAACAGTATACCTAACCTAAAGCTAGAAACAATTAATTTATTTGTTTTGTCTTTTAAAATAATTTTTGCAACTAATAAAAGTCACTAATAAATGTAATGCTGTAGGACCTATAACACATATCAACTCTACAATGGATATCACGGTTTGTGGTGATGCCACTTGTTTGGAATTTTGTATCATTTGACAATCAAATAAATATTAGTTGTTAATGTAATAAATTAGTATGGTAATATAAGGTATTAGGATATACAGACTGTCTCAAAAGTCCCGGACCGGTTTAATATTTTCTAAACGACACCAGATAAATCAACAAGATTTGGTACATCAACACCACATTTAAAAATCTACTTTTTTAAGGAAATATCAATTTTCTGTCATATCATGGGGACATCCCGCAAGGAGTCAGAAGGAAATCTTAAATAGAAGCATAGGTTGACATGTACATCCAATTAAAGGTCTTTACTAGCAGAATATAATGCCGCAAATTTGAACTCAAACGGACAACCGAGCCAAGAATGACAGTGGTTTAAAGATTCATTTAATTTGCATTGCTATTATACGCTTACTCCTCAGGGGGCACAGCCCTAGGAATAGGAAGACAATTTTTAACGTAAGCATAGGTCGATATGCACATCAAATTAAAGGTCTTCACTAGTAGATTAATATATTTTAGTGCGAAGCCTATTTTTTATCTTACCAAAGTTATCTTTGACCACGTCAACTGTTAGTAATATCCTATCATCTTCCGGTCCATCATAGTTTTTAGCAATTCTCTTAATAGAATGTTTTCCATGTCAGGATACGCATCCTGCCTATCCTCTATAAACCAGCAATTAGGTCGTAATCACAGTCGCCTTCTTCTTGGAATGTTTTAATAACACTCCAGGAGGGACTCAGCAATAAAAAACCAATGTTCTGTAGTAAAAAAAAGAAAATAATCTTATGGGAACGACAATGTTTGTAAAGTAATTATCAGCAGCTAGCTTAAAGTTATTATATTCATAGCAGGTGCCCTCTTGCGATTCCTTAGTACATTGGGATAAATGGAGCTATTTGCTACTCTGCAGGTCCATGGCCCAATTCCTCGTAGCCTACATTGGAAGTCTCGTATATATATTTATGTAACTCCATTATATTATTGCAGAAAGTGTTTAACTAACGAACACAAAAATAAGAGAACTCAAATTGTACTTGGAAGGTCAATTGGAAACACTTATCCTTGACAGAACCTTCAGCCAAAAAGTGGTAAGTATACTTGTACGTGTACTCTTCTGGCGATTTCCTGAAAGTACAGTTTTTAGTGCTTAGGTAGGTGGGACTACCATTTTCATAGAAACTGTTAGGACTAGAGATTCCGAATATTCATCAGTCATTCCTGGTAGTTTTGTGAGTAGAATAATGCATGTATGTAATATTATCTGCAATTTCGTTGTATAAATATTTTTATTTTAGATTATAAATAAGCAAAGTAATAAATATAAAATAATTAGTTTTTCTAATATTTAATTTATTTTATTTTATTTACTAGCCATGTATTAATCATTCTATATGGCTTTTCATGCTTAATATACCAAAATATGGTATATAAGCACCCAAAACTCAGAATAATTCAGATAAAATATCTTATGATATATTGGTACCGATATAGAAGCTTGTTATCCCATATAATTTGCATTGCAGCCTAACCAGAGTGCACGCCGATTCAGATTCAGATTTAAATTTTTGGCGGATAATAATAACTGCTGTATATTATATTGTTCGATTGTTTAAGATGAAAATTGTGATTGAACAAGCCGAAGAAAAAGTGTCCCAAAAACAGCAGGAAGCATTTTTAAAATAATCATGGGAGTAACTTTATGTCTCAAATTCAGTCTGAAGGGACAAACCAGAAAATACCAAAAAGTAAAAAAGAATCTTTCCTGGCCACAAATACCGGTAAGCTTTTAAGAAGTAAGTTTCAATCATTTGATTGTAAGTTGAGTGGGTGTGGGGGTTAAAATTTCAATAACTGTATACAGTGACCTTCTCTTAACCGACCCCGAGTCAACCACCGCTTGGATTAAACGTCTCTGCCCAGGCAAAAATAAAGAACGGTTTATGCTCCCTGGTTTAACCGACCTTACTAGGAATCTAGAGAACTCCGTTTCCATCCTTATCCCAGTGAATGAAATATAATCGTGTCCGTTTTGCCTTAATGGTCCGTGAAAGGTTTAGTTTTGTTATGAATCATACGGGAAACTTACAATAAAGTATTTTTGAACATTACTCAACGTCAGTTAATCGCTAGCTACTTTACGTTATATAATAAAGCATTTTCAACTGAGAATAACGTGTGTGTTTACAGCCTACCAGATCACAGTGCCGTACTGTATAGATTTACACCATGTATGCAGAAGAATCGAGAAACCCGGTTAGTCTCACTACCTATAGAAGAATATTTTTAAATAAATTCAACTTAAAATTCAATTCTGTAAAAAAGGTCACTTTCAATAAATGTGATTCCTACGCAGCAATTTCAACTAGTGTCGTTTGGAGGGAAAAGAAGATAAGCAGAGTATTTGCAAAATCAACATTTGACACTTGCAAAAAGACCTCGAGAGGAATTGTATAAATGTATGTCTATACACAACGCCGAAGTGCATTGGGGGGGGGGGGAAGGAAGGGTATTTTTATGTCTGGGTAGAAAACCAAGCTGGACGAGGAGCTCAAGAAATCGGGTCATGCCTTATGAAGCATGTTATAAATAATATTGTTGAGAATGTCAAAACGTTAGATTCATTTTGTGATTCTTGTGGGGGACAAAACCGCAATATTAAAATCCTGCTAATGCTTAAAGCTTGCCTAGAAGCTATTAAAAGTGTTCCTTTGAAAGCATTATCATTAAGCCCTTACCAGGTCACACATTTTTGCCGAACAACACTGACTTCAGTGATGTTGAATGTGCACATAAACATGTACAAAAACTTTACTTCCCCTTAGATTACTTTTCACAAATGAAGACATTTAGGTCAAAAACCACATTTATTGTCACACCTATGTCTCAAGAAGATTTTTTCGGCACAGAAAATATAATAGTAGGTAAATCAAAAGAAAGTTATGGATGACTGTAAAATTAATTGGCTAAATTTTAGGGAAATCAAAATTGAAAAAAACGAATCTCTAAAGCTGTATGTGAAAAAAAATGTGATGACTCTTATACAACATTTGACCCAGAGAGTAAATCAGTAAAAGGAAGGCAAAAAAACTAATTTAGTCTTAAAGGTTCCCTGGTTAATATGCGGACAAATGGAAAAGCCATAGCGGCACTGAAGTTGAAAGATTTAAAATCTGTAATGCACATTACTCCCATTGATGTAAAACGCTTCTTCACAAATCTCACAGGAAGTACAGAAGTGGAAGATGACTTGGAAGGGTTTTGTGCACCTTTACATTTCGAATTAGAGGAAGAAGTGTCCTCACATATGTCGGGATGTGAAATGTTATGTCGTTATGATAAAGATCTGCTTTTAAACTTTTTTTATTTAACAAATGCAAGATCTTCTTAAGCTAACTTATATTATCTTTAAATAAGAAGAAGTACAATAATTTATTAAAATACGATGTTACTGTTAAGTAGGCCTTATTATTGATCCGTCGACAAATGTGTAATGTGCATATAGTGCTTATTTAACTTACCTTTGCAGTAGTAGGCCTAAGTAGCAAGCCTATTGTGGTACTTACTTTTATAATATGTTAGACGAATTATGTCAAAATTGTATTTAATAAATTTTAGGTAATAAAATATTTATTTTCATGTACTCTTTTCTTTAATTTGAACCGGTAACAGACACTGCTTCAAAGAATACATGAACGCAAAGTATTGAACAGCAACAAATTTCAAAATATTGACCAATTAAATTGTTTTTTCAATGTAGAATATAAAAAATTATTGTTATGGTTTATAAAGAATCTGTGTTTTGAAGAACAACTATATAAAAAAAAATAATGTGTCAGAATAATTTCAGAGAAATAAAGAAAAATAAACCCTCAAGACGTTTTCAGCTTATTTATTACCAGCCATAAAAAAATCTGAACCGAACCAACCCACAAAAACATAGTGTAACAAAATGATAACACCACTTACATCTATGCCCTTTAAATAAAAACAAAAAATAGTAATCCAGCGAAACAATTCCTTTACATAAGTTAAACCGGGATTTATAATTATTTATCAAATTTATTGACTTTAGCACAAAATTAACCCAGTGTGGGTTAGTTCCGTTCTACTAAACGCGGTCCGTATTCAAACTAGCTTTCTCGTCAGCTGTATAACTGAATTAATTATTATTACTATGAATTAATTTGTTCATCAACACAGAAGATGGATTTAAATACTTTGATATGTTAACGGTCTACATAATTTCAAAAACCGATGGCAACAATGCATGACGACTAGCTACTCAGGAAATGAGTAAAATTCCATATGAATCTACCTCTGTTGTCAGGCCGCAATTTGACCGGAGAGTTGTCCACCGACCTCCTCGCCACCTCCTGGAACGTGACGGGCGAGTACACCCTGGCGCGGTCCTCCTGGATGAGCTTCACATTGTCCGCACACTTCTCCCACTCCAGAGGTTCGGCACTCTCTCTGGCGGGGATGTGGCGAGATAGTGGCACCCTGTGCTCCCTCTCCACCAGCCAGTACGTCTTCATGTTACCTGTAAATATACAAACCAGACTGGTTACCTTTTGGACCAGACTAGTTAAAGATGTAAGTGTACCAGTGATTGGCACTTTAAAATTGGCACTTTAAAATTGGCAATTTCTTAAAAAAATTTTGAAAAAAAAATTGAGGTGTAAGGCTTAAACAACCACACTATCTGATTTGTCACACCTTTTACTCATAAAAAACATCTTAATCTATATTATAATACTGAAAATAGGAAGATTATATTGAGTAAAAAATTTTTCTAAAATTTCACAGTAATTGTCACTGTGGTCTAATAATTGGCATCCTTTGTCCTAGTCTTTGGCAGTATAGTAACCCACAATGTAATATGAAGCTAAACAACAAACAATAGCCTATTAAACAAATAAAACATAATAGGCTATAAATACAAGCCTTAGGAACAGTGCTAAGCTTATGGAACAGTGAAAGTACTATCTTAAATATCACTTTCTTCACTTAGTTCTCCAAAAATATCCGCCAAATCATCGTCACTTTTGACCTCCACACACAAATGGCAAATAAAAGCGACCTCGTCATCATCTTCATCTCCTTCTTCTAGGCCATACAAATTTAAATGTGCTTTCGGGATGCATTTGTAATGGTATTGGAGCTTGCACTCATCACATTCCACCCATCTTCTTCTTAAACTCTTTATAAGTTCGCTGGAGTAACGCATTCCACATACTTTACAAATCCAATCTTCTTCAACGTCATAAACATCTTTAGCAGACTTTTTCCCTTTACCCTTCTTCCCCTTTTCTTTTTTTGCTTTTTCTCTTCCTTTCTTCTTTTTCTTTCTCTGCTTTTTCTTTTTCAGCAATCTTTACCTCTTCAAACTCGAACCAAGCTTTAGATGAGACGACACTCGGCATTCTTACATTTTTTCTTGTCTTGCATTTTTTCTCAGGTGTCACTGGCAAAATAAGTGGTTTTTAAATGGGGAAGGAACCCCTTTCCCATTAGTTTTTGGTGAAATCACCTTTAGCATTTTTTGTTATCTCTCGTTCACTCCTTGAGGCACTGTGGGATGTTCTTCGACAAATTCTCCTGCAGCTGATGTAGAAGGTAAGTTAAGCTTTAGCTCTTCAATTGGCTTCTCTCTTGTAGGAGTTGGTTGTTCTTCTACAACTTCTCCTCCAGCAGATGTAGGCCTAGAGGGTAAGGCAAGATCTAGGCCTAGATCATCAATTGATTCCTCTTCCTCTCTTGTAGGACATGAAGGTATATTTACAATTTGAAACATTCTTGCTACAGAAGTTACAGGTTCTTTGGCAGTATTCTCTTGAGGTCCAGAGGTTTGTAGCTTAGCAGCGTACTTTGCCTTTTTCCAAACAACATAAAGGTCCTGTGATGTGTCTTCGCCCATCCAAACGGGTGTGAATTTGCTGTAAGTTTCTTTGAACTGAACCAGTGTCTCTTTATTGATGAGAGATTCTAACACATTTACAAACTTATCATACTCGTGCGTTTCTTCAACAGGAACAGGTAGTTTTTTTCTGCCATCTTTGGTCTTGTTTGCTGGTGTTTCAGAATGTAAAATGTCAGTTTTCGTGTAGTCTATGGCATCTGGGTTCCATGGACTCAGACCACATTTTTTTAATCCGTTTTCAATAGTTTCCTACTTTCATTAAGTCCTATTTTCGTTCCTGTTTTCGTTAAGTCTACTTTCACTTTTTCAAGCGACACACTGATTTCCTCACTGTGTTCAGTTCCATTTTGATGAGAAACATCTAGGCCTATCATTTAAATAATTACATCTTCTTGCACATAATTCATTTCCTCTAATTCACGGACATCTGTTATAACTACAACTTCATCTGCAGATAAATCAGTTTCTTGAGGCACTCCACTGTTTTCGACATCAGATTTTTCAAATGCAGTAATCATTTTATCATGATATTCATTTCCATCTCTAAGTTCGACTTTGTCTGCAGGTAAATCAATTTCTTCAGGTACTGCACTGTTTTCGACATCAGATTTTTCAAATTCAGCAATAATTTTATCTTGATATTCATTTCTTTCTCTAAGTTCAACTTCGTCTGCAGGTAAATCAATTTCTTCAGTTACCACAATGTTTTCGATGTCAGATTTTTCAAATGTAGCACTCATTTCATCTTGATATTCATCTCCTTCTGTGAGATCACCTTCATCTTCAGGTGAATCTATTTCTTTATTTATTACATTGCTTTCAATATTATAATTTTCAAATGTTGCTCCATCTGGATGTTCATTTTCATCGCCTACAGGTAAGTCCTCAGAGAGGCGGCTTTGGAATTCTATTTCGTTATCACTCTCGTCATCATCGTCAATAAACTCAATATCAGAAGAATTCGGGTCAGCTAAATTTGAAAGGATTCTATCTATAATATCTGGTCTTCCTGTCAAGTTTATTCTTCTATCCATGGTTGTAAAGCTACCTGGAAAGTATAAGCAAGTATATAAGAGAAAGAAAGGAAAAATAATTCTACTAGTTATGGCCACACAGACATCTCTTATTTTTCAGGTGAGCCAAAAGTATAAATATATTAGTGTATTGTAATTGTTTTTTATAATTTATTATAATTGTATTTTATTTATAATTTTGTATAGTTGTATTTTACTTTATTTATAATTATAAATATATTTTAGCGTAAAATTATTCAGTCAACGCTTTGGTAAATGGTAGGCTGTAAAATGAAATTATTTGAGATTAGGCTGTTCAATTTTTCAAAGGCTTTGTTTATAAATGTACTGAGGTTCACTTTTGTACAAGTAACACGTATGTGACAGTAAAAAATCACTCGGTGGTACACTTTTGCGCAAACGTCACAAATGTGTTGGTGAAAAATTTACCTTGAATGCTAAACCACCACATTTGTGTAAGTAAATAAATCTTATTGTAGATAATTATACAACAGTGTTCTGATCAATTACAACGTTTATTCTATGAATATGGAATAATAAGAACATAATACCAAAATTATGAAGTCAATACTTACATAAGCAACGCTAATAACGATGGTCCAAAAACGGGTTATAACCTCAACATGAGAAACCTGGGACTAGCCTCGAGAAAACTGATACAGCTGGTAGCCTGCAAAGAATCTGAGAGAAGGAAGCATTGTTGCCAACTTTAGAGATAATAACTACCGCAAATGTGTCTCTTTATCTTTTGTGGAACCCTTTACATATATATATATATGAATAATAAAAGTTAACCAACACATATGTGTAGAAGGGGTTGAAGAGGTTACCACTTCTGGACCAATTTTTATCAAGTTTCCACCGTAAGTGTTTGGTGAGTGCACGAAGGGGGATGGGAGGGGGGAGTAGGTATTCCAAGATGTTGATATTGATGAGTTATTAAAACAACCATATGACAAAAAAAGTTACAGGCCCGAAAACTCCAGTTTTGAACAATTTGTTTACATAAAAAAAACTAACTTTGTTCGGCCATACCCCAGTTAATATTGAGTCTAAAAGATTTTGTAACCAACCAAAATTTAGCGACTTTTATGCTCTACAACTTTTTGACGCACAATCGTACACAAAACTTGCTTAATTTACAACATATACACCAAAAACATAAAAAATACCGAAAATCTTGAAGTTTTTGGTCCCTCCCAAAGTAAGCACAGGGTACCAGAGGTTGAAAAATCAGGATAAACATCCCAGAGTACCCCAAGACCAAATGTTGAAATTCCATCAACTTCGGAATACTTTCCAGGTAAAAAGTATATATCTACTGGAGTATTAGTCAACTTATTCAAGTTCAGTATAGACCTAAAGATCGGATCACTACCCCGGATTGGAAATGTTTAAGGGGAAAATATATAACCCAGTTTATGTTTAATGCGATGGTTTTATAGCAAGAATAATAACAATAAAATACAGGTAATCGCTGAATAGAATTTTATAAAAATCAGCAGTGGAAGCTTTTGACAAAAATAAGGAAAACCTTTTCATATACTAGGGTTGCTTTCAGAGAGGTGAAAGCCAGTTGAGCGGAACAAACGTGATTTGATATTTGTATAAGTAACTAAATGTAAAAAGGTCAATAGATTTATTTACTAATGCTGGTTTTAAAGATTAAAATTATAATAATTCAAATTTACCTCTTCGAGAAGTGCATTATGGTAGTTTTGACCAGGAAAATATTACAGTAGTTGGAATCTGATATTAACATCCAAAAAGGGCATTAAAGTATAAAAAAGAGAAAGGAAATTTAACATTCAAATTCAACTGTAGCCTACAACAAAAACATTGGACTTCATTTTTCACCCTTTGGTTAAAGTATTTAAGTATAAAAAAACAGTACCTATTAAAAACGAGTATTGTATAACGACAGGAGAGGAAATGTGACATTTAAATTCAACTGTGCAGCATAGACATAGGTTAAACTCAGCTTTCTTTGCTGGAAATAATTTATGATTGTTAATACGAAGTATTCTTGATGGAGGATATGATTGTAATGTAACTGGAATGTAGGTCTTCTGCCATTATTAGGACGATTTAGCGGCATTTTAATACTGGCCTTAATAATACCATTGGCCATTGAATACAGTAGATTTTGATGAAAATGCTGGCTACAAATTCAACATGGGGATGGAATGTCTAGTTGTACTGATAGTCAAAGATAAAACATAGGCCTACGAAAAATTTAGGGCTATTTTAATGTAAGACTCAAATGTAAAACGCCTTTAAAAGACTAAAACAAACTGAATTATCAGTCATGTATTTCAATGTGTAAAAACGTAAAAACTGCAAAAAGTCTTACTTATTGAACAACAAAATAAGATGGCTGAAATATAGGCATAAACATATTAAGTAATAAGTAAACATCGCATTCAGCTGATTTAAGTGAAAACAGAATAATATAATAAGTAGGGAAGACATACCTTAAATATACAATGTAGATAATATAATTAGAAATTAGTAGCATACTTCTGGACAGGCCTAGACAATTATCCATACCGTGGTTAAAAGTGTACTTCTATAAGCCCAGGTTTACTTATTACGGTTGTAACTGGACGTATGTATAGTCCGTGGCTTGGCAATCAAATAACAGTATTTATATAGGATAGGCTACTGTTATCAACATTTGAAATGACTGAATTGTTACCAAATTTCACAAAATGCAGATTCCATTTTCAGCCGAGCCATTAAAATGAGGATTTGCCGAACAATTATTAATATTACAGAATAGTATATAATGATATACAACTTTTCACATTCCATAATTATATGTTAGTTTTGCTATGGTCAAAGGTACAAATCCAAATGTTCTCTTTTCTTTTGGTCAGTATGTAATAATTTGCTAGAATCATTGACTTTATATAAAGTCAGAGCTAGAATACTGCAGATGGTTTGTTAAGTTAAGACCATATGCAAGCATTTTTGAAATCGTTTCCCCGTTTAACCTTAACCAACTATTCCATTCCAAAAGATAAAAATTATATGGTGCAACACAAATAAACAACCCGATCACCTACCTGTAACCTACACTATACCTTCCTAATCTAACCTTACTTCAAAACACTTAATGTAGTCACGAATACTCATAAACCCCGACCTACCTCCACACATGTCTAAATTAGATCAGTGTTCAATCTGCGTTTTATGAATAGAATAAGTGTAATAACTTACTGTACCGTCGATGTAATTCAACATAATATAACCTATGAGGTATTATCGGATTAAATACCGATTTCGATGCGGTTCGATATATCGCTTATTAAATCCTGATTTCTAACATTGGCTGTTTCTAATCAGCTGGCAACACAAATAGGTTCCCAAGAACGTAGTCACCGGTCCGTATCCCTCCGCTCCTTGTTTATGCTCCGCGCATTGAGAAAGTAGTTCCGTATATTTTCTCGATTTTCAGTGAATTCCGCGCCTTAAAAAATGTTTTAACGGCATTTTCTTGTTTATTAAAATCATAGGAATGGTTTAAAAACGTTTAAAAGAAAAGTATAGAAAGTTCAGAAATACCTTATGATTCTCTTGTTTACATTTTTCTTGTAAACAAAAAAACTGTCATAGCTACTTTAGTCCCATAAGCCTAATGTTAAAAAATTTTAAATTTTAAGTTCGTTTTAAATTGCATTAGCATTATCTAATTGAAATTTGTTTGTTTTCAAACCATCTCATTATTAGTCTAAGTAGTCTTGTTAAGTTTGGCTGAAATGTGTTCAGCCGTTATTGAGTGATGGTGTTATATTGTTTGCATTGAAGTTGATCCCAAAGAGCTTCGCTCGCTTCGCTCGCTCCGCTCAACAAGGAAACTCAAGCTAACCTTTCCCTTTGACCTGTATCTCGCCGCGTTCCTTAACGACATATTCCGGTGGTAGGAGGTCCCGCGTGCTCTGCGAGATGTGGATTCGCATCGCCTCACTGGTAGACTCCATCCTGGAGGCCGTGTTGACAGAGTCGCCAAACAGGCAGTAGCGAGGCATCTTGAGGCCCACGATACCCGCCACTACAGCGCCGCTGTGGACACCCACTCTTATCTGCAGGTGGGACCCTGGAGGCATTAAAACTTATAAATCTCAACATTATGCTTCTAACAAAAAGCTATGTAAACTAATTCAAAACTACCAATCTCATAACATCATTTATCAGAAAAAAATCATTTTATCTTATAGGTAATCTGGTGAATACTTGACAAAATCTTAAGTAAATATACCCTGTCTGCCTTAAAACTGCATAGGAAGCTGCCTTTATGATTTAAATATAATTAAACTGTCTTCGAGCACTTGGAAAAGATTATGAAAAAATCATATATTTAATTTATTTTTATTTGGAAGAATGGAGTTTTCTAGGTCCGTGAAGTTGGCGTACCCATATTAGCGTATCCACTTTTGATCATACCAATCGTTAGTTCATCGTTAGTTCTCGATAGTTCCCAAATTTTTTCGTTAGTTCTCAAAAAATAAAAAAAGTTACGAGGCATACAAAGTGGGTACGCTAACTTCACAATTGTACAATTTCCAGCGGGCACAGTTTTTTTTACTATAAATGCCTATATCTATGTACCAATCGGTAGTTCTTCGTTAGTTCTCGATAGTTCTCCAATATTTACGTTAGTTCTCAAAAAATAAAAAAGTTACGAGGCATACAAAGTGGGTACGCTAACTTCACAACTATACAATTTCCAGCGGGCACAGTTTTCTGACTATAAATGCTTATATCTATATACTAATCGTTAGTTCTTCGTTAGTTCTCGATAGTTCTCCAATATTTACGTTTAGTTCTCAAAAAATAAAAAAGTTACGAGGCATACAAAGTGGGTACGCTAACTTCACAACTATACAATTTCCAGCGGGCACAGTTTTCTGACTATAAATGCCTATATCTATATACCAATCTTTAGTTCTTCGTTAGCTCTGGATAGTTCTCAAAAATGTACACTCAATCATTCTTTCAAACATTCACAGCATCGTTCTTAAACAGTTTAGAAATACGTTTAAAATAAAATGTGTTAGATTATTAATATATACCGAGAATAAATATTTTTATCTTATGATAAATTATATATAATAAAATAATTAATTAAGATTTAGTTTAATGATTTGCAAAAAGGGGGTTTTATTCAAGTTCCATGCCTATAGCCGGCTCCAGACTGTACCTACGCTCGCAAGTAGTATGGCAGCAAATGCTCGTGCTTGTGTTTTCCGTTCATTGCCGGTATTTTTGCACACATCAAAGTGAACGAATATTTTTGCCATTCCCGAAACGAACAGTTGTTAGGAAAATAACACATGTGTGCAGACGTTTTACTCGTTAATCGGCGAATAGCAAAACAGCTAGATCGTCGAACGGCAAATATGTCGTGTTTTGGGAGTGGCGCATGTCTGGAGACAGCTTATTTTGTTGACGGAAGAACTTGGAATAGCGTTTGACACGGCTTAGGAAAAGTTGAAAATCACTCTAATCTAGTAATATAGGAGTTTCAATATCTAAATTCATAACAAACTCTCCATATAATAAACATTTTAAAATACTTTTAGATTCACATATGATAATTTGATTGATGATTTGATATATTAGTCCTAAAGGAAAGCAGGAAATGTACAAAAAATGTTAAGTTTGAAATGTGTATGTAACATTAAATTTAACGTACGTAATTGGTCTTCAGTAGTTGATTGAAACTTGTATAATTGCGAAGTCAGCGTACTCACATTGTATGCCTCGTAACTTTTTTATTTTTTGAGAACTAACGTAAATATTGGAGAACTATCGAGAACTAACGAAGAACTAACGATTGGTACATAGATATAGGCATTTATAGTAAAAAAAACTGTGCCCGCTGGAAATTGTACAATTGTGAAGTTAGCGTACCCACTTTGTATGCCTCGTAACTTTTTTTTTTTTTTTTTTGAGAACTAACGAAAAAAATGGGAACTATCGAGGACTAACGAAGAACTAACGATTGATATATAGATGTAAACATTTCTCATCAGAAAACGGCGCGCGCTAGAACCCGGAAGTGTGAAGTTAGCGTACCCACTTATAATCGGCTATAACTTTTTTATTTTTTGAGAACTAACGAAAAAATTTGGGAACTATCGAGAACTAACGATGAACTAACGATTGGTATGATCAAAAGTGGATACGCTAATATGGGTACGCCAACTTCACGGACCTGAGTTTTCTGAATAAAATATAGTTTATTTCATTACGATATCTAAATTAAATGTATGCAGGATCGATTTTTCTACTAAAGGGTCGTTGCAATGGCTACGATAGTTACGTAATATTTTGGCATTTCTTTTCCCGCTTGATGGCAGTTATGATGGTTAACCTGGTTTTTGCCGTTGTACTGGCTACATTACATAAGCTGTTATCTGCATATTCGTCTGTTGTTTACATTTAACAATAATACATGGTAATGTGAAACCAGTTGTTTTTCTTTGTTGTGTACAGTGAATTTAAAGACGCCTAGAAGTACACGTCTTGTAAAGAAGAGTTCTTAGGGTTCTTAGTTAAGTTCTTAGGGAATAAGTACAAGAAAATTGAAACAACAGAAATGTAAGTAGGCTTAGGCCAACACCAGATGTTAAACACACTATAGAAAGAATGAAGATTTTGAGTATAATATTTCTATTGCATTTTTCAACACTCTGTATATAATAAGGTGGCCAAGTATGTTAAAAAATGCACCATTTTAAAACTTTCCAACCATATGCTACACTATTGAACTTTACAAAACATGGTGTCTTTAACATTTAAAACATAGAAAGTCGGCATGTATTAAGCAAAACTTGTACTTTTGTTTCAGATTGAAGTAAAAACAGATGTTCCTTGTTTTCAAACCACTAAAACAAACAAAAACATATCTAAACCTTTTCTTCAACCTAAACTATCTTCAATTTTCCCATAACTATGGTTATGTTTTCTTGCCAATTCAAAAAACACATTCAAGCAGTGAAATCCAACAACATGACAACTCAAAAATCAATGTACGCCGAACACATTTTATCACATAACCATAGTAATGGAAAAATTGAAGATAGTGTAAACATTTTGGAGTATGAACGCAAAGGAGAAAGGATGAATGTAAAAGAAGAATTACATATATATTTAGCAACAAGAAAAAATGAAAGCAACATCCTTAATATAAGGCAAACACAAAATGTAAACCCAATTTATGAAAAGATCCAAGAATTAAGAAAAAAATAATAATTAAAACCATTGGCATAACTATATTCTTAATTATATAATTTTTCCAAGACAAGATAGATTTAGTTAAAATTTAAACATGTGATTGTATTTATTTTCTTTGTTTACATATTTAAATTTAATAACATTGTGAAAGACTGTGACCATGACCTTAGTGTTGAAATGCATCAGTCATTAAAAATAATTTAAAAAAGGGTACTATGGTGTATTATTTATTAATAATATATATATATATATATATATATATATATATATATATATATTCAAAGTTTTTACTGGCTAACTATAGCGTCAACAATTTTGTTTATATAATTTTCTTCGTCCTCATAGACTTGAGTCTTCATCCAAACATGTTTAGCCCGTAAAGAACTAGCAGAAAGTGTTTGCGATTCATTATGATTAAAAAACATCAAGATTTTTGTTTTTGTTGCACTAAGTCTGTTACTCCTTTATGTCACAAACAATCCAGACTTATAAAATGCCCTTTTACATGAAACAGATATCGCTAAGCAGCAAAAATGTGTTTGAGCAATCTTTGTTATGTTTGGATACTGGTGTCCATTTTCTCTCCACCAAACTAAGGGATCTCCTTTTCTGTCGAGTAAATCGTCTTCAACACAACGGTCGACTTCAACTATATAGCACGAGAATAGTGTGTGCACTTTTTATTCTTTCTAGATAGAATACCATCCAAATCCGTCAATACACAAAGTTCATCTTCATATACCTGGGTTTCATTAACAAAATCCTCAGCTGACTGATCTTGACATTGTTTGGTTCTCCCAAACACCCATCATCCCCAGAAATTGCACAGACCATGCCAACTACACGTTGTTTTACACCTGTACCGACATGTTCAGATGGAAATTCTACATTTTTAAACCTTGGATCAAGAAAGGTAGCTAGAGTCAACGACTGGCATACTCAACGTTACCAAAACGGGGTTCTACCCCTTCAGTCAAGCATGCAACTAACTTTTTGGCTTCCTCCGTAAACGTCTTGGTTTGCACCTTCTTACATATAGAGGCGAGGGACAAAGAGAGTGGTATTACCAACGAAGCGGTGGCATAGTCCTCAACACTTATTGTGTTAGTGACAGAGTAGAAAGATTTCAAAGCTCACATACAATTTTCAACTCTGCAATAGTTAATACTGGGAGATCATTGCCAATTAGTGCCATTATAGGTTTAAAGGGTTCCTGTAAAAAATGAAATTCCGAAGCGTGAAGTAAGTGGAGTTCCACCTTAATTGTACATCTTGAACAATTGTTTTTATTACATTTACCACTGTTTTCCTTATATGCCATGTGATTTTTGGTGGAGTTAGTGCTTCTTTTGAAATGCGAAACAAATTTCCTAATTTTTTAAAGCAACGTTTTAATCAATGTTCAATGTATCTTTTCCACGAGATTAATACTGTGTGCAAAGCATCCAAGATGCTTCCATTCCAAGTCTGTGATTGCCTTTTAGGTCCAATTTATGAGCTAGATCTCTTAAGGCCTTGACACTATTTTCCGATGTATGACGTCCTGAGAACTGTTCGCACTGGAACAATACTTATTGCAGTTCAAAAGTGTCGTTTATGAAAAGTGCTGTTACAGCGACAAAGCTCTCTGTATTCATTGATGTCCAGCTATCTGTTGTGAGACATACACTAATGGCCTTGTCGATTTTATTTTTGTCAATTTTTATTTTTAGTTGTTTTAGGAAACCACTGAGAGTAGTCTTTTAGTAAAGGTTTCATGATACCCCAAACCTCATGCACCTGGTGATCGAGGTTGTCAGATACCGACGCAAAAAATTCACTCCTCACTTCTTTCTCCTTTTTGAAGTACACAACTCCAGTGTTCAAAGACAATTGCTTCTTTGAAGCTCCAAAGTGGATGGATTGGATTTTTGTCGCGTATTTACATACGTAGTTCTCTGAAAAGTTCAACCTAAAAGCCAATCCTCCTTCTTCTATGTTCTTTATCTTGCGCTCTAATCATTTGGCCTGGTATTTCATGAAGTCGTGTTTTTTTAAACACAGGCAACACAGGTTTTTTCAAAACAGGTTTCATGGTTATAAACTCTGCCATCACCTTACTGACATTCTCTGTCTTTTCTTTTATCAACTTTTGAACAAACCTTGTGCAAAAAATGCTCTTCTTTCGTATATTTTCCCTATTAAAAGTACTTAACTTTGAAATTTTCTTCCAAATTAAAATTGATGGTTTTGTACTTACATTTACAGCACCTTCTTATCAAACATTCTTTGCTATCGGAGCACACAGTGGTAGATAACGCTTCTCTTGATGAGTTTTCCGAAATCACATTTGCTTGCAGTGCACTAACCACAAATCTCATATACTAGTGTTTAATACAAGCAAACAAATCCCAGTCTTAATTATTATTTTTTGTTTTGCAAAACGGCCTCTTACGACAAAAGGACGACAGTGAAATTTTGCATTTTAACTGCTTCTGAAACTGCTTATGAAGAAAGTGTAGAGGCTCAAGAAGGACTCTTCTTTGCTTTTTAATGCCGCCTCATTGGATAAAGTCCTTTTTTCCTGGCAACACCCTACTGACACAGTCATTTTCGAAGAATGTGATTAGTTCTTGTCGCAGGCACATCAGGATACCTTTTGTCTTCCTTAACGTCGGCTCGAAGTTTCGAGGGTCGGATAGTAATTTCATGTACGGCACAAGGTGGTTAACATCCCAGACACGGCTTGTTTTTTTTTTATTTTAAGCCGTTTTTTTTAGAACAAATCCAGGAAACGATGGTTTTCAGACGCTGTCTTTAACGTTGCTTCTTCCAACCAACTATCAAACAAGTGTCTTTGTAGATAAAGAGCCAGCTGATTTTTCCTGTGTTCTCTTTCTAGCCTTTTTTTATATTTTAAAATTTATTTTTCAAGCTATTTTATCTTTATATTTTACTTTTTTATAGTTCTGTATGCTTTATCCCTGTCTCGTCTTACTATCTTTCTTCCTCTTTTTTTTTCGAAGAGTCTTGAGACGAAATGAACGCAGATGGAGATGGACTCGCGGGGTATCAGCAGTTGCATTATCTAATGCTTTTTTTCAAGCTACTCTTCTAGTTCTGCTCCTTCCAATATTTTTTCATTCTGTGTAGTAATCAAAATGACCCCCCCTCACTATGTTTTTGGGGACAAATAAGTAATAAAGTACGGGTTATTTTAATAAAATGTTTGTGTTTTATTTTTAAAAATCACTCGTCAATATAGAAATTGTCACGGCCATACCCAGCCGGCCACGCTCATTATTTTAAAGTTCAATAATAAGGCAATTTACGAAATAACATGTACTCTATGGCCCAGAGAGGGAAATTTATCCTTTTGCATTCAAGGCATACAGAATTGATACCATTATATCTTTTTCTTGGTTTACAAAAAGGTTCAATGTGAATGTGCGATAGTTTCAGAGAAAAAGGTAAGAAAATACAACTTTTAAATAAATAATTCTTAAAAGCATTAATTACCTAACAAATACTGTTATAACTTATTGTCTGCCTTGGTATTTCTGATTAATTGATGCAACATTATATGTTCTCATATTATTTATGATTTTGTAAACCTTGTCTTTGTTAAATACAGATCAAGTTTATTAAGTGTCTTTTAAGTCTTGTCTTTGATATTTTTAACTTTGGTGCCGAAACCCGACTTATAAATTATGTCAAGAAACATGTCAATACGAAAGGTTAGGGAGAGAGGAACATCCTCCAAATAGATATTCCCCTGAAATTGTAAATGACAAGAATTATTAACCCATAGAAAGAAACAGTCAACCTCCAAAACTCCCTTCTAAGTCAAAAACCACATATTCAACTTCCAGCAAGCGCCGGTTACTTCAATTACAACTAGAAGAAATTGAAGAAATGAATAAACTTGAAGAAATGCAGGAAGAAAATGGATTTCAATGCAAAAGAGAATTCGAGGCTAAAAAAGTATTTTATAGACATTTGAACCGTAATTTTTACAGGAATGGGAGTTTTACTATTTTTTTAGAATTTGAAGGGCTATAGCATGCTAAATCGAGAGTATTCGATTCTCACCATAAAAAGAAAAAAGAAAATTTAAATGAAAGAAACTCCCGGTTGTACCATGGATTAGTACCTACATACCAAATTTCATCGAAATCGGACTACAGGTGTAGTCTGTAGCTCTGTACACAATCACACATACGGACACATACACAGACGTCACTTCGAAAACCACTTTTTTGGGTCCAGAGGGATCCAAAACGGATATAACTTAAAATTTTGACGAAAACAATCTTTCTCTTTATACTAGGCTATGTATAGGGGGAGAAAGTAAAAATAAAAAAAATATTGAAAATAATTAATTTTTGAACGTTTAGAATACAAAAAAATATTTCTTACATTTTATGAGTAATTCGTTTACTTATATTTTGTGTAAAAATGTATAAGGTTTAAGGCAGATAAAATCATAATGATATCTCTTATAGTTATTGAGAAAAAGTTACATTTATTTATATGGTTGGGAATAGAGCCAAGTGCTCCCCGGCTTTAGCCGTAGTAGTTTACTTAGGATACTGAACTTTGAGTGTTTTAGTAAAATAATGTAAAATGTAATCTCCACTGAAAATTGATAACCAAGAACTGAAGAAGAAGGAATACTATACAAGCAATAAGGAAGTATAGGGGTTGAACAGTAAATATTATACGAGAGTACATTTGGAGTTTGAGTTTAAAAAGAGCTAAATCAGTATGATATATGAATTACTATAAGACGTAAGACTCTTGGCCGATGGGTCAATTCCACTTTACAGCTTATTATCATTACAACTGTATTCATAACTTAAAACGTAATTGGTAAGATTGCACTTGTTATAAAATAAGGTCGATGACAAACCAAAATCTTAAGGTATCAAAGTATTTTTTATTCAAAACAAGAATCCACTGAAACGAGAATCATATTTTGTAAAAATGTAAATGTAATTGCTTATGGCTATTAACGTTGATCTAGATAAATGGAAACCGACTCTATCTTTTTCAATCTGAATAAATATCACGTTGATTCCCCCCGTTGTATGCAGAGATGCCATACAGTCTTAAAAAAAGACAAATTTCAAAGAATTACATAACTTGTTTTGACGCCCAGTTGTGTTGATGCAAAGCCTGTCTGTAAAGTTTATGTGATGAATACAACAGAATATAGTGTTATTGTTGAAAACAGTTTACTCTTTCTAACGCACTAAAGTAATAATCCAAAACCGTTTTAGTTCACAAAATGTTCAAGTTTACAATGAAATTATTTATATGAGTTATTTTAAGATGCATTTAAAAACAATTATACTAAACGAATAATGATACGACCTATGTTGGTTTTTTAACACGGGTCTAGGTTAATTTACATTTTTAAGCAACTACAATTTATTACACAAACGAGCAAAACTCGTCTTACAACTATTTGTAACATACAATTCTTAAGATGTATTTCTAATATATATTTATTTAAAAGTGTAAGGGGTAATATTCAAGAAAATAATAATAATAATAATAAAGTGCCTTTCAATGAGTCTGTGTGAGCTGACATTTTTATGTTTTAGAGGTTTTCTTAGCTGATAACGGGATCAGATTTCAGGACCTGATATATCGTGGAAACGATTGTAAATAGACTACTCGTGATGAATGTATCCGCAACAGCCCCATACATATACCACCACCAAAAATAAACCTAAAACAAAGAATGTATTTACATTCAGATTTTTGACAATGATATTATAAAATATCTGGTTTTACAATACCTTTATCAGTTCCAAAAGTTCCTTGGTATTGTGAAACCAGATATTTTATATATTACAGTTCCGGGGCTACAACAATGAATTTTAATGATATTATACCAGTTGCAAACACTCTTACACAACAGTTACATGTAGGCCTACTGGTGTATTACCTGTGGAAGGATCCTTGAGGTCGGTGATGGCCTCGACCATGTCGAGTGCCATGTCACACACCTTCTCCGCGTGGTTGTCCTCGGACTGGGGCGCTCCGGAGACGACCATGTAGGCGTCGCCGATGGTCTCCACCTGACGGACAGAACCAGCGGCGTCACAGCACCTCCCTCTCGATACAGCCTTACAACACCACAACAGTTCGTGCCACCAACACTGACTATCTCTAGGTCTACCTTCCATGGTGGGAGTCACATGCAGGAGGGAAACCGAAACGTCTGGGCATCGGCCTAACTATAGAATCAGCACCTCCCTCGCGATACATATTAAGGCATGAAAGTGTAAGTTAAATCGAAGTGAATGGACAAGAAGAAACCCGCTAAAGAAATTATTATAAGTGTATGAACTGCTTCAATGTAAATGGTGTAAGCTGTATTGAAGCATGTAAATAAAATAAAATAAAAAATACAATACCGCCTTACTACAGCACAACAGTTCGTGCAACCAACACTGACTACCATTATGTGCGGGTCACATGCAAGGGAGGGTATGACAGGTTGAGGCTACAGCACAACAATCTAAAATAGTATAATATACCTGATTCGATCAAAGAAAAAAATATCATAATAGTTACGTTATATATCTGTTTTTTGTCCTTTTTTTTGTATGGAATTTTTTCATCCCCTAATGGCATTTTTACGTTTTGAAAAGAAACTGTCAACCCCTGGTTACTATCTAACATCGACCTTTATGTTAGATAACATCATTAATACATAGCCCAAAGACAAATGGCATCTAGGTTTGGAAACGATCTCGCTTGAAATCGAACCAGCGACTTTCCGATTTGATGGTGAACGCTATAACCACTCGGCTACCCAGACAAAACACTATAACCACTCGGCTACCCAGACAAACAATTTTACCTCAATTAACTACGTTAATTTTGTAATAAATGCTTCTAATTCTACGGTGATCCCAGGCAGTTTGCAATTAAAACCGTAGTAATTAACAACATACCTATAGGAAAACTCCATTATTTAAGATTATTAGCCCTTAATTATTGCCAATACGAAATTATTAGAATCATAATGCAATTTTTATAGGTTAACAGAATTAAATGTAAATAATTAAAGGTTTCCAAGTGTTGGTGTCAAATACGAGTTTTATCTCAAGTATTTTAATGAGAACTTTACATTAAAATTCGGTAGGCCCCAAATAGACACCTGTGCCTACTGTGAGGAACGTCAAGTTAAATTGAAAAGCCCTCATATTAATGAAAATGCAAAGCGTGTTGCCACTGCAGAGTTAATGGTTCATCGCAGGCGCGCTAAGCAATTTCACAAAGCTCTTCAAGATACAACAAAAATGTCTGAAAATAATGAAAAAGTTGTTGGCCTTGTATTTGACTTTATGCAAAACATTGAGCTACCAAAAATCCCGGTGCAAGACGTATTTTACTTGCGCCAGTTAACCGTGCAAGTTTTTTGTGTTTACAATACAAAAACTAAACTTTCACATTATTATGTTTATCATGAAGGAAAAGCACACAAAGGAAGTAATGATGTTACTTCATTCTTAATGGATTATATTAGTACACTCCCTAGCCAAGTTGAGGAACTTCACCTTTTTTCAGATAATTGTTGTGGTCAAAATAAAAACCACACATTATCTAAAGTTTGTCTTGCTTTGTGTGACTTGGGTAGGTTCAAAGTTGTGAAGCAGTTTTACCCATTGCGAGGACACTCTTATAATTCTTGCGATAGAAGTTTCAGTATGAAGACAGAATTTACACTCCAAAGGAAATTTGTGAATTAATAGTTAACTCTTCCAAGAAATCTCCATGTACAGTAACCTTAGTCGAAAGCGATTTAATTACTGACTATTCCAAATGGTGGCCTACGGTATATAAAAAGACAGCCGTATCAAACGAAACCAAAACCTTGCCTCGTCAAGAGAAACAACATTTTGTTATTTCCAAATTTTATTATTTCCAGTCCTATTTGGAAAAAGGTACTGTCAAAGCAAGTATGCATATAAGAACGGGAGATTTTCAGACACTGCATACGTTTAACTTGCGAAAGGGCCTGTGCCTCACCCTACCAGATACAAAAGCTTATCCGAGGGGTTTTGTTCGCATTAAAAGAAAGAAGATTGTTGATTTGAGAAGATTGTATAGTTACATTCCAAACGAACACATCCAATTCTATGATGAAATTCTAAACTGGGAAACGACGGACGAGCAAGATAACATTGAGTGAAGTACGAAGAGTAAAAATCCAGAACTTTAAACTGGCAAAATACTTAATTTTGCACATAATATATGTCAGTAAAGTACATGAAATCCTTGTAAATAAAAGTGTTCCTTTAAAAATTTTTTATTGACCTTTTTTAGTATGGTGTAAGAAATCTTGGTAAAAAAACTTGACTTGAGAGCAAAAAGGGACCTCAGTCAACAATTTATTAATTTTTTTTTCATTTACATAACTCATAAAAAATGGTAGTTTTGTGTTGTTATCTTTTTTGTAGTACTAAAAATAATATTCTCAATTTTTTATGCATTTATATTTTTGTTAATGCAAAACTTATACAGTTTTTTTACGTTTACCGAAAGTTGCGAAAATTGACTCGGGTACTTTTTTCAACTCACTGATTCATTTATAGTTACGTCCAGAAAGTCTTTGCACTGTGTGTGGAATGTATAAGCCAAAGTGAAGGGTTGAGCCGGTAATGTACTGATGTTTTGTGACTCGAGGAATCAGGACGAACCCCTAGAACATCGCCAATATGGCTACGTAATCTGTCGCGCTTTTGTTCAGGCTCCGGATAAAAACCGCCTTACTAACCATGGAAAAAGTTAACGTAGTAAAGTCACCAGACACCGGGTAAAAAATATTTTCAAAATAATCGTTAAAACAACTCTATAATAATAGATGGAAGTTATATCAATTATACAAGACGTTACTTCTTGATATTTAAAATTCACGAACATTTAATGGAACATGGGTAGTCTTGGAGAGAGGTAGAAGTGAAAGGTAGACCTTAAAGTAAAGAAACAACTAGTCTCACTGTGGCCATTGTATTTCAATCTCCTGATTAAGATTCTTTAACTCTTACCAATACATATACAACCATTAAATTAAAAAATAAGATTTACTTTAAGATCAACATTTTATTATTTTTTTTACTAGGTGACCTATCATTCTAAGGATATAAGGGCTTATTGATACGCATAGAGGCGATGTAGGCCTAATGGAATATAAGTTAACAATATTTCGGCTAAAGTAAGCTGATTTTTAAAACTTTTTTAGCTCGCTTTCTTATCCGGTACAAATTTTGCAATCGATAATAAACCAACTTCCCGATGAGCTAGAGACTAGAAACTTGAAACATAGCTCGCAAATGGATGACAATGCAATATTAAATAATGATGTTCGTTCATATTTCCCTTGGAATACACCCGATGGGCTTCCAAAGTTTCAATGTTTACATTTTGGAAGAATGTAAATCATTAAGTATATCAATTTATTGAAGTCAGCTGTAAATAATTCAATTTAACTGTTCAAAGAGCAGCGATTAAGAGCTACAGGTTCTGCTCCCGACAGATTCTAAATATAAAACAAATTTTAAATATAAAATAGATTTAGAATATTTAAACATTAAAGAAAAAAATGAATTTATAAATAAAAACACATTTTTAAATTCCACGGTATTAAATGCAATAAAAATTATAAAATACCTAGTTTATAAATATGTGGAGAGAATAAATAATAGTAAGATGTGAAACGAAAAACGTGGGGTGTATGCAATATATAATACAGTAGTTCAATAGGTGAAGGTAATTGTAAATTAGCAATTGCATGCACCCCACGCTTTTCAATTCAAATCTTACAATTATTTGTTCTCTCCAATATTTATAAATTATTTTCTACTTTTTAGTGCCTTTAAAAACCTGGATTTTTTTAAAAAGTGTTTTTATTTTTACATTTGTAATATGATGTCACAGTTTTTGAAGTCAACAAATCCATTTAGTTGTCTGTTAATAGTTATAATTATGCACAGTAAAAATTTGTACAGGTCTCTCAAATCATTCTTGATTTATGTTTCAACGTTACGTTAGTTACTTGGTTTATACAGCCTCTAAAAACATGTGCCTATATTAATTAATTTGCTGACTATATACCAGGATTTCTTAAGTTTTAATGGTTTCACAAACATTGAAAATTCTGTTTAGTTACAGTTGATAAACAATACACTTTGAATTATTATTCAAAAGGAATTCTTTATGAATCTCAATTATAAGAGTTTGCCCACCAGCTGCGCACTTCATAGAGAACAACAACGAGGCAAAGTTTCCAAGCCTGCATTTAATGGCTTCTAAGTATTCAACAAACTTTTAATTTTATCGAGCGCGTACTGAGGCTTTGAATAATGTTTATTGTCCATAAATATTAAAAGGGACAACTGTATTAGCTTCATTTGACGACTGTTACCTTCTCTATGCGAGTAAGGTCTAGTAAACTATGTTATACGTGTTGTAGTCAACAATAACTAGTTTATTGAGTTAATCAACTCGTTTTCAATGCCCGTCATTACTGTCAATCGACCTAAAAATTTGGGAGGAAAAAGCAAAAATGATTATAGTATAATCATAGTAACCTTATGCCTTCTAAATTAAACAAGAAAACTTCTCTCTTTACAATAAATAGTAACTCTCCCTTTGGTGACGTTTGCTTTAGATTTCCGTTTTTAAGAGACGATACAAATATTATACACTTATATTATTAAGTTTGCACAAGTTAACGAAAGTTAACACAAGCAATCTTTCATAGTTAACGACACTGATACTATAATGTGAAGTTATATATTTGAAAAAAGTAAAATTATTTAATAGTTTTCTTTACGTTTTCCATTTTTCGCTTCATTGGAAATGTTTCCTATACTGTATATTGCTTTCGGGTAAAATAACTTTCGTTAATATAACAACGGTTTTTGCTTGGTTGTCAATTACTTGATTGATTTCTGTTCTTCATTTACTTTTTTTTACGTGCTTATTTCACGCAAATTCAGAAACTGCTCAGAATTTATTATTTTACACAACGTAATATTTTACACCCTACGTAAAATCCCTGTCAGACTAACGTTATATAATCGCTTTAACTGAAAATAGTTTTAGCGGTGCATAT